TTTCATGAAGGATGAAAGTTGTTTTGAAGTTGATATGGTGGTCCATTTGGGTGGATTTTCATAAAATTTGGATTTAGACCCAAATTAGGCATATGGAGCTAATTTGGGTCAAACTTGAGCTAGCTTTGGGCTAAGCTCAAATTGATTATTTTGTTTGGTCACAAATGACCTTATAAGGGATTTTCAACAAAAATTGTATGTCAATTTGAGGTTTAAGGCATTCAATTGTTGAGATTTGGGGTGTTAGCCAATATTGGGGCTTTTGACCCAAATCAAAATTGGGCTCAAATCATGGATCAATTGAGCTTAAATTTAGTTTAAATTAGTCACATGTAAGGTGAATTTGAGTTTAGGATTGAAATTGGGGAAGATTGGGACCAAATTGATGGACATTTGAAGTAAATTTGGGGAAATTGGGCCTTTAAAGGCAATTTGGGGGTTTTGGTCAAAATGGTCAAATTGATCAAATTGAATCCAATTGAAGGGTCCAAATGGGTTTTGGGAACATTTGGAGTGATTTTGGAGGTTTTGGGAAAGTTTGGGGTGCCAAGGGTATTTTTGTAATTTTGGCAATTTTGAGGGTATTTTGGTTAAAGATGGCCAAATTGACCAAATTGGGCCACATGGTCATTGAAAGAAATGAAATTGAGAATATTTGGGATTTATTGGGATTTATTGGGAATTTTATGGGATTTTTGGATTTTGGGTTAAAAGAGGGTCCTAAGGGCAGTTAGGTAATTTGGGAATGTTTGGGGCAAAAGACCCATGATTAGTATTTCAAGTAGAATTGGATAAATATCCATTCTAAATGAACTGTGAATCAATAAAATCCTCATTTTGGGTCCTTATGGATTGGTTTTAGCTAGAATATTGTGAGGATATTGTGTACCCTAACTCCAAACCAACACCTAGGGTCAATCCTAAGGCCAAGTAATCCTATAGGAACTCTTCTTGAGCTCTCCCATAATGATCTTACCTACTAAATGCCAGAAGTTAAGATCAATATGTGAAACTTCAAGTTGAGTAAAGAGAAAAGCATTGAATTTCTAATGGTGGGGGTACCTTTTCTAGTTTTCTAAGACTAGTCAATAGGAAAGTCCTATGGCTAGACCTAGGCTACTAAAGAAGTTTTCTAGACCTCAACCAAAAGTGAGGTCAACACCTATCAAGTTGAACGTACAACACATCGTGTTCTTGATATTATGCCCTTTACAATAAATAGCTCATTTTATCTTGTCCCCCGTTATTTTATGATAATATGTTTCAAAACTTTTGTTCTTTTGTAGATACCTCTTGATGCACCAATTATAGATACAAAATACCCAAATGACCAACAATCAAAAATAATTTTAGAACTATCATTGTGTCAAGATCCTCAAGCAGTAATGGTGATAGATGTACTGTCATTTAAGGCAGAGACAACTCCGGGTCAAGCCAAAGAACGTGAACATATTGCAATGATGCCCATAAGTTTAGGTACCTCTATAATCATCCAGGGACTGCAAGACAACCCGATAGTCATCACTAGCCAAAGCACCAGTTCCCATGCTGAGAGCCATGCGATAGTGGTACAGAAATTTACCCCTTTATCTTTTAACTCATCTTCAATTTTTTAGTTATAGCTTATAATTATTTTTGTTATTTTGCAGCCTCGTACTGCGACATCTTTCATATATTATTCTGGTACATCATTAGTACCATGTGAGATGCAGAATGCAATCGATGACTGCATTGCTACATACACGGGGGTGTAAGCAACTTTTGACAATCTTTCTTTCTTAACTTTGTTTTGCTACATACACAGTAGTTTGAGATTCAAATGTTACAATCTTTCGTTCTTAACTAGGTAGACATGATTTTCTTGCAGATAATGGTTTTGGGAGGGCAATTGACTGAGCCGACCTCGAAAATGTATTGCTAAACGGGTGGTTTGGCAACGAACGTGCTGATGTTTTTGCTGATATAATGCGTGAAAGAATTGTCAGGTCGCCTGAATTATACAGGTCATACATCTTTGTAACGTCACAATATTGGGTAATTGCAATAATGAAAATAGTACTACTCTCTGCCATAACAATAAAACTATAATAACACTAGAAAAACTAAACAATAACATCAGATAACATGACAATAACACGACAATAATACAACATTAATATGACAATAATAAAAAAATAACATAACTAGGACAATACAATCCATCAACTTTTAACCATAACACCAAAATATTAAATCATAAACAGTAAAAACACCTAATAAAAATCAACTAAACTAACATAGCACAACAATGCAAAACTCAAATCAAAATAAAACTAAAGTAAACTCACTTCGGATTTCTGTTGACTGTCATTGTTTCCTGATTCCATGAGCAATATTTCTTCGTCTACAGAGAAATCAATCACACTAGCTCGGAACCCAACGCAAAGAAAGCCTAAAGCGACAAAATGCACTTTTCTGGACTGGTGGCAGCTCAAAAATGCAACAAAAAATTTTTGGCGGGATTAACATTGGACATAAAGTCATTTTCTCGCTTATTGGACTGGAATCAGGCTGGGCCGCGCCTCCTAATTCATTTATTTTTCATTCTCTTTCTCATGGGCCCACAATTCCATGTGACGAACGTTAATTGGACTCTGCTCGCAACTCTGCGTGCGGAGTCCGGATGTAATAAGTGTTTGATGAGTTGACCACTCTCTTGAGTAAGCTATAGACCATAGACTACAGTTCGACCTTTTTATTTTTAGCTACTTTGGTTGCCAGTAAGCCAGCCCAACGAATTGGGCAACGGACTGGAAAAGAGGATCTCGATGGAAAAATGCTCGGCGCTTCTCTACTTCTCATCTCTCTCAATCATGGATCTGTTCACAAATCTCTTAATTTCTACCAGAAGGTGCTCGGTTTCTTCCCCGTTAGAAAGCCTGGCTCCTTCGATTTTGATGGAGCCTGGTTTTCAACTATGAGATCAGGGTCCACCTTCTACAATCTGATCTAGTTTTCTCTATCAGCAAAGGAAACAAATGTTATGGTGGAGCCCGGCTGAAAACAAATAAATAAAAGGAGAAAAACAACTGTTCCCGCCTCTTTATGTGTTGGTGAATTGAAGCATCTATCCTCCTCACGTTTTAAGAATTACGCCTCTTCCTAAGTAACGGGTTCCGCCATTTTTAATTGGTTTGCCAGAAGGAGATAAAAAGGCTCTCCAGCAGTAGTTATTATGAATTTCTCCTTCACGCTTTTCTTGTTCGCAAATGTGGCTTACAGGAAACAGAAAAAGATGCGGTTTTCTTTCTTCATTTGGCTGTGTGCGTGAGACGTGAGACCGAACTCCATAGCTTCTTTCTTTGCGTTGGCTTGAAGAGGAAGGAGACGGGTGAAGAAGAGGTATCTTCGACAAGGTAGCTAAATAGTGTAAATTCTTCAATTAATAATACAATTTATATTAATATAAATAATTTGTTGAATCACGAAAATTTATATATTCTTTTTGTGTAAATTTTTTTCATTCTAATTTTTCACTTGGTGGCGATCATCCTATCCTATTTCAAATTACCCCATTTCAACCTTTAAGATCTAAACCCCGGCGTGCTGTTCTTCCCCCTCTTTTCATTCGATCGCCCCCCGCCGCGATTATTTTTCGATTTTTCTTCGCCCAGCAGAAACTCTCTCTTTCCCCTCACCTTCTTATACTGCGCCTCTCTTTGATCCCGCTATTTTCTCAATCTTTCCGGAGGAAGAAGAGAGGCGATAAGCGGCTACGTCTTGGAGAGGATCCTGTTGGAAAAGACTAAGGAGGAGATCACTGACTGGCCGGTCTGAACGTAGCGGCTTCCCGGCTTGAAGAGGAACAGGATGAAGGGGACACCCGTAGGATCTGTCAGAATCCAGGGGATGCTGATGGCCCTCTTAGATACTCTTCTGCTTATAGTGGAAATATCAAGTTTGTCCACCAGGATTGCCTCCTCCAGTGGCTTACTCACAGCAACGCTTACCAGTGTGAGGTGTGCAAGCAATATGGCTTCCCATAATCCCTTTCATTACCATTTGGATATGGCGCTTGACGTTTGTAAGAACCTTTGTTAAAGCTCAGAGACTTTTCTTGAGTCACTTATTCGCTCCCTTGGTTCTTACGGATTGTCTAAATTGGTTTTTTCTTTTTACTGTCTACTAGCATTGTATTTATCTTTCTTGGCGCCACATCTCTTAGAGATTTTTTCAGACATCTTCGAGAACTTGGGGGACATGATGTAGATGATGAAGGTCAAGAAAGGCAGTGTGCAAGTGCTGCTAGGAGGGCTGCTGGCCCTGTAAATAGGGTCCAGGCTGTTGAGGGAAATGGTGATGATCGAATTGGAGCCCCAGGGATTGCTGGAGCAGGGCAAATAATTAGCAGAAATGCAGAAAATGTTGCTGCCCATTTGGAAATGCAAGCAGCACGCCTTAAAGCACACGTTGAGCAAATGTTTGAGGGACTTAACGATGCTGATGGTCCATAAGATGTGCCCTTTGATTAACTTGTTGGGATGCAAGGACCTGCTTTTTATTTAGATGAAGATGCAATGACTGTTCTGTCGATCAATGCTATTTTCCTTGGAGTTGTAACTTTTATCCCTTTCTTACTAGGGAGGGATCGAAGCTCTTTTAAAACTTGCACTGCGGCCAAGCATTACACAATCACCTGAAGGCATGCCTGTTGCGTTACACAACACTGTTGTTTTTAAGGGTTTCACTCAGCATCATTCAATTTCTCTGGCGCAAGCCTTTTGTCCCTCTATTTGGGAAAATCTTAAGAGAGCTCTACGCAGATTTAAATACATGGCTGGCTCATGCTTGTTGTCTCGAGAAACTGCTGCTGAGAGTGAGATTTCTTCCTCTCTATTTGTTGTTGAATATCTATTATTCCTAGCTGCTTCTAAAGATAACCGGTGGATAAGTACTTTGCTTACGGAATTTGGAGATTCAAACAAGGATGTCTTGGAAGATATTGGGAAGCTCCACAGAGAAGTTCTTTGGCAGATTGCATTGCTTGAAGATTTAAATTTTAATACTGTGTTTGAAAGCTCTTCTTCTTTAAATGATGCGCAGAGAACAGATTCAAGCACTGATGAAGCGGATGAACAAAGGTTTAATTCCTTTAGGCAGTACCTCGATCCATTATTAAGGAGGAGAGTTTTTGGTTATTTTCAAAATTATCAATCAAATTGGAGCCTGCGCACCCCAGCAAAAGTCAATGCATTCATTGACTGAGTGATTAAGAGTCCATTACATGATATAGCTATTACCTTTTTCACGCTTTCGGTGGGTGTACAATAAGGGAAGCTTCCATCATTGGAGCCCACTTTTTTTTCATTTCGATACTTATTTCAAGACATACATTTCTTCTAGGAAAGATATTCTTCTTTCTGACATGAGATTTGATGAAGATCCCTTTCCCAAACAATCTGATTTACAAATCTTGAGTCCTGTAGATAATTTTGGTAAATTGCCACAACTAGAGCTCATATAGGGGTTTAAAGAATTTCAATCTTCTACTTACATGGAGTGATCCATACATCATCATAGCTATACTTTAAACTCTTTCTACGTTGGTGAAGATAACCCTTTCAAAGCTACATAGTAGTGGGAAGTTCATTAGCTATGGCTCTTTGAACAGCCATCTTCTCTCTATGGCCCAAGTTCGGGGAAGTAAAGAGGCTTCTGTTGGGCATATAGTCATATACAAGTAATGGTTCATTTGGGTTCTCAGTACACCATCGATTGAGCTCAACTTAGTTCACTGTATGTGAACCTGTGAATTCCAACTAAAAGAAAGCCGAAAACAAGGAAATAACGGCAAGCTTAGGTATATATGCCACATCACTTTTCCGTCAAAGCAAAATCTGCTTGACGTTCATTCTCTATCAATTGCACGGAGGTTTGTATCTTGACTCTTGCCTTTTTGATACTCATGCATTTTCTTGTGAATCATCATATCATACCCGTGATATCAATACTTGGGAAGTTTTACAGACATAACACTTAATTCCATTCATTTCTAACACCTAAACTTTGCATTTTGACATTTATACCACCCATATCATTTATGCCATAAAAAAAAATTAAAATAAAATGCTACTGTCTCAATTTTGACAATTTATATACATTGCATAGAATTCTTATGTACCTACATATTTTTCAAACATAAATTTTTATATTTACATGCATAGCACTTTGGTACTTTCAACCTATGCATAAAAATTGTATTTCACCTAAAAATTAACAAATAAAGTGCTATTTGTGATATGATATTAACGATTTGAGTACAGTGTGTGTAAATATGCAAGTTTTGGTGTGAGATATATATAGATACATAAGAATTGGGTGGATTGTAGGTAAATTCTCTAATTATTGCTTCATTTAAGGTTGCTTAAGAAGTTTGTTGCCCTCCTCCCGAATGACACACTTTGTGGCGACCCTTAGTCAAGCATTCTATTCGGTTTAAGTGTGCAACCGAGGAGGTTCTCCTAGCTTCTTCTAGCAGGCTTGCAAGATATTTTTTATTTTATTTTATTTTTTATATATTTCAAAATTGGTGCATAAATTAATTATTCATATACCATCATTCGTTAGAAAAAATGATTATGTTAGAAAGCATCAGAGGAGACAGATACATTTCATTGCTTTCTTATTTACTTTACTTGATTGTATATGTTTGGTTTGTACATATCATTTTGCTATTCTTTTTTTTTTTTTAACTATATTTACATGTGAAAGAAAGCCCTAGGGTAGGGGACATAGGACATATGTTTAGGTTGAGACCTTATAATATGTGACCAACATATTTGCTTGATAAAATTTTTAATAATTCTTAAAGCCTCATAAAAAAACTCATTTAAATGAATCACAAAATATTTGAAATTTTAATAAATCAACTCAAACCATTCATATAAGATAAAATATTTTAAAAAAATTATAAAATAGCAATATTAATTCAGCTTTTGGATTTATGAGAATTATTTGGATGAGATAACTTATGATTGCTGACAAGAATCCTCTCGTTTAAAGAAGTTTAGCAGTTTCTTTAGATTAATTAAATTCAAAACTAACAATGGTGCCAGAATGATGAAATCATGGGATCTTAACTGAGGTCGTTTAACTTAAAATAAATTTCCCTTTTAATCACTTTAATAATAAACATTGATTGAAAACTCATTTCACAGCAACCAAATAAACAATAAGAACTTAAGGTAGGCCTCTTGAGGCATGTTTTTCTCTTTCTTATCATAGACTTAAACAACAAAAACTCTTAGGATTTCGAGGTTGTTCGTTCAGCAAGATGTAAATTCTCATCCTCTCTTTTAGGCTTTCACATGATCGTATGCGGTGCGATATAAGCCCTAACTCTTTTTAGGATCTTATGGTTGTTGTTTGTTACAATGTAAATCCTCTCATCTTCTTAGACTATTTGCATGATTTTATGTTCTGCAAATGTAAGTGCTAAATTTCTAATAAATTGTAGGAGTGAAACATTAAATAAATTCCCTTTTAAAGATTGTAAAGCCGAACAATAGGCTAGTTTGAGATGTTACTGAAGTTTCCTCGGTATCTTTGACATCTCCTATTTTTCATTTTTTTATATTTCAAAAATAATTATTATACATTGAGCCTTTTCCATTTGATTTTCTTACAATCAATCATGAAAACTGAACTATGAATTCTTGAAGATGAAACTCTAATCTTAATCGAGAGTTTTCATAAGTAATTTTGGTTCTTAAGATACAATTAACTATATGGGCTTGCGTCTGTAGGAGAATAAGTAACCCAAATAATCTAAACCGTATATAATCTTCAGATAAGGAAGGGGAAGAATCTGTTATAAATTTTAGAAAGCAGACAATTATCCTAAATTTCTTAGTTTGAATAATTGAGCTCATTATTAAGTGATATTCTTATGTTTCGAGATGACATATTACTTATAATGTTGTGTTCGATTGTTTAAGCATAATTATTTTCAAAACGAAAATAATCCCAAAATAAGACCAACAGATTTTCTAGCGACTCTGCCGGAGACTAATTTTTCTTTTCATATTTTATTAGGTGGTTTAATCTCCATACATCTGTAGTGTGCCTATTCTTTTGGTATGCCGTGACTGCTTTTTAATCGCTGATATACTTTGCTCATTTCTACATTGAGCAAATATATTCAACTAACTCCTCGACTCTAGAGTCATCTGTTTAATCATTCTTAAACAAAGGGGTTCTAGAATATCTAAATCTAAAGTTATTGAAACTCCAATAAAATAATAAGTTATTTAGTTATTAATTGAATAAATGAAAACAAACGAAATAAAATTTCATTGAAATCGATCATCTCTAGTTTTAGGACTGGGTCCTTCACTTCATATATGGTTCATTTCCCTTTTTTGTTGAGTAGTTTCTGACAAATTAATATAAATTCTACCATTTTCAAAACTTTCTTCACTGAAGTAAAATAATAAAATAAATCAAAAAAATGAAATAAAACCTCCAAAACAAGATAACACTCAACATTTTAAACATAACAAAACTGAAACAAAACTCATACAGATAAGATTTTAAAGAAATGTCAGTCTAACAGACGAGTCACGAAGTACTTTGTCTCTCCGAAAATCTCTACAATCGGTATGGAGCATTAAATTGAATTTGGTAGACATTCTGATATTTGCAAATTTCAAAGAAATTTCTTCTTCTAAGTTGACCTCCTCATTTGTGGACGAGTTGAACATACATTCATATAAAGTCCTCATATTACAGAGGTCAACAATCAAGTCTCTAGCAGATTTCATTGAAATTAAAGTAATTCTTGGAAATGATACCTTTCTCAATATTGAGGTTGGACACCATAAGGGTCACTGAACCGTCATCTAAATTCGATCTAATGAAAGCTCAGGAACTTCGGTCACTGAACAAGGTCCTGAAAGAAGAAAAGTCCACTATTGTCAAGCATACAATGAAGTCAATAGATGTCTGTCTCATTGGTTGTTGTTGTGCTCCACGAAAAAGGACAGTGTTCTCAAAAGATGTGGGCATTAAATGCAGAAAAAATGATATAAAAAAAGAAAACATCAAAAGAAATAGAAACTAAAGTTCATCTTTTTGTAACCCAAAAAGAGGGTGAAAACTTCTTCATAACTTGCATCTGAGGTTAAGGCTGAAGACGTAAATGAGGGAGAGGAATTTCGATCATTGAGAAAGAGAAAATTGTGGAGAACATCAAGTTCTGCAAGGAGACTATCACTGATAAGGAAGTTGGACTTTTCGAGACCTCTTTCTTATTAAGGGATAGCATGTTTCATCTTTTGACTACTAATGGTGAAAAAGGGACAATTTGACTTCATTTTTGGTGAGTTCTGTCTCATTCTCTAGAGCCTACAATCTAGCTACATGATTCCCCTACTAACTCTCCTTAAGGACTAGTGTCGGGACCTAGACAAATTAGAAAATTCAAGCCACTTCTTGACTCCTTCAAGTCTTGTGTGTGTGGTTTCAAATCCTCAACGTTCACTTGATTCGATCAGAACCAATATATAGAAACTCAAGTCGAGTTTCTAATGCCCTATGAAGACATTTTGGGACTTGGGGATTTTCAATCTTTGAAGTAGCACACTATAACCTGCCAACATCAAGGTTCACATGCAATTCACTGATCAAAATCAAAGTCGAAGTTAAAATAAAATGACGTCTCCTCGTGATACGATTTTGAGACTCTTCGGCACTGGTTAAGCGACTTGCCGTCAAGAGCATTTCGCTGGAGTTTGATCGTCGCTCAGTCGATGACTGGTTGGCATTTTGCCTGACTGGTGACTCCGACTGAATTGACGAACGTTATTTGTCGCGTCACGCGCGAGTTGAACTTAAATTGACCTGATGACCGGCGAAGCTGCCCGGATGACTTCTAATGACAAAACGGACCACACGAGTGCGTTTGGAAGATCAAATTTACCTAGGAAGGACACTCATGTTGCTATAATATCACGTACGGGGCAACGGTACACAAATCAGAGAATTAAATTTTAGCATAAGAAAAGAATATTAGAAGGTGGGGTGGGGTAATTTGATTCACGCACACGCCACCCCTCTATTAACGACGTTGTCGTGCCCTAACCCCACAAGAGCCCCATCTTTCGTGCAATACCTTGGCTTATTCGAAACTTCTCCTTCACATGAGACAGAGTTGACCACCAATGCTCTTTGCCCGACACCCTCTGCCCGGAGCTTTTCTTTCTGAAGCTTGCTCCTGCTTCTTCTCTCCACATGGCAGACCTTCGTGACCCTTCACTCACTACTTTGGTAAGTTTTTGACCTTGCAGCCTTGTCTCCCCAAAGCATTCGGCGGGCTAAATCTGCTCCTTCCTGATATCTTCGGCTCCCCATGCTTCTCTGCCCCATGCCCTCTCTCGGATTATTTCCTCTTTTCCTTCTCCTTCAAAAGTCTGTGAGCCCCTTTTCATTTGGTACCATTCTTCACACATTAAGTCCCCCTATCTTCTGTTGCTTCTACCCCTTCTCATCAGAGGTTGAACAAGCCTAAGGGACTAAAATCTCGTGAGCCTGCCGAAGTACTTTGGTTGGGAAATTCTATGAGTTACTAACCTGGTTTATGTTTTGAAGGCTTTGTAGATTCCTGGTCCTATTCTCAGCCGTACATTAGTTGGGAGTCTTATGAGCTTGTTAACCTGTTTTCCTTATTTTAGAAGCTTCAGTTGTACAGTGCATGAACTACAATTGGTTTTGGTACTTATCGATTGGTGAATCATTTTTTTTGAAGCTATTGGTCACGCACGTAAAGTAAAATAAATACCTGCTTGCCCCATGTGTGGTTTGATTATGTGAAGTTTTTTTGCAAATGATTTTCTTGCCTATATAAAGCTACATTCACTTATAATTTGTTTAAATGACGGTAATTGCCCTGTCTAGCATATGTGAGGCGAAATTAACTTTCATACATGGTTTCCATAAGTAAAAAAATTTTCTCAGGTATTGCTGCTTATAGGAATTTTTATTTTCTCATGTTGCAAGTGCAAAGTAAAGTTAACTTTCATACGCAGTTGGCTTAATTGAATGAACTTCTTATGAATTTTTGCTTTAGTTTTCTGATTTTCATTGAAAAACCCCTTTGAATCCTTATGAAAGAACTGAAACTTGAGCATATAATTTCGGGTTTCTCAAATATGAGCTTTCAGGTTTTGTTTCATATAATTGAACTATTGTACGCTTATCTACACAAAACTTGAAATTTATATGAGTTAGATCTGTGAAAATCTAAACTCTTCAAGCTGGTTTTATGCAAATTTGAAATCCGCATGAAAAGTTTTGAACATTGTTTGTGCCGGCGGCTTTCTTGAAGTATTCAAAGAATTCATCCCTCCTGTCTTACGGCATAGCCTGAAATCTGGCTATGAGTTGGATGCGATTTAATTGATGTTTATTTGATGGAATCTACTAACATACCACCCGATTCTTTTTTATTTGCATGCCTAACACCTATTTCTCAATTTTTTACAC